AAGTTCTGATTCTTTTGATAATCACCTGGCTTGGCCATCACATTATCTGTAGCCATCAAACCCAGGGAAACCTTTCGAACTGGGCAGATTCCTTTCCTTTTCAAAGGGATGAGAAGCTGCTCTCTGACATGGTGCAGCCGATGCCTTGGGAAGGCTGCCCTAGAACAGAGGCTGGACAGAGTTAAAGAATAAAGTAGGGATTTATTAAAAGGATATCCTCAATGGATCCACCTTGGGCAGTACAAGAGCTCAGCTAGGACTGCACCCTAGGTGAACCCAAAATGGTCACAAAATGCACGCTTGGTCACAGGGTCTCTCACTTTTATAAGTTCTGCTCCATTTGCATATTGGAGTTAATTGTCCAATTACAGCTCCAGCCCATGAAGTCCCATCCTGCTTGTTTTTCGCTCTTCAGTCCATGATGTTTATGCTCTTGGGCCTGAGATCTGGATCATTTGTCCTTGGTCCCCAGCTAGAGAAGGAATTGTTTTGTCTCCCTGCTCTGTGAAGAGAGCTCACCGTCCCCTAATATGAGGCTCAGACCTAATATGTACAGACTAAAGCAGCACAGTATCTGAAAAATATAAAAGCTAAAACCTTAGGCATCACTGCAGCTTTGGGAAGCATCAGTAAGCTGACCTGCTGCTCCCTGGTGTGTTGAAATTAGCATTTAAGTGCCATAGAACCTCGTGGCAGCCTTTTATAACTGTGTATGAAAGAACCAGAACGTTTCCACAGGCAGATGGTGTGTTGCAGGTTTTCAGAAGAAAAACACAGTTTAAAGAGCTGGTGATACTAATAAAAGATGTTATGGCATTTGCTGTGCTGTGCAGAGCACACACTAATTGGGATTTCAGGTTGAGACCTACATTTTAATGACAGCAATCACAGTGGCAAGCAGGCATTGTAATGTGGCTGAGGTGCCTCTCTAAGTTTATGTTATTTTTATGAATTCCAGTGAAAAGGAAATACAGCAGGAGAAAGTTAGGGAAGTCTGACTGAAATCTATTTTTATCCATCTGTCTACAGGACCCTGGTTTCTAACAAAAAGTCATTGTTTTGTATTTCTTCATGAAAGTGGTAGGACTTCCATAAGCTTTTATTTATTGATTGATTTTATGTTTCTGGTTAATTTTTTTCTCTAGTCTGTCTATTTCCCATTGATTTAATGTATATTTTCTTTGATAAGTTTCCCAAGACAACACAACCCAATAGGGAAGATTTTTTCCAATGAGCAGATAATCCTCTGACCAACCTTAGCCTCAATTTGACATGACTAATTTGATTTTTGATAGATTCTAAAGCTCTTTGTGCTGCCAACACCATCCTTATCACTGCCTCCATATTTGCCTGCTCACAAATTTCATCTCCCTCTGGGAATTTGAGCAGCACTGTCCCATCCAAACACTAATTTTCCTGACCTATTTCTGGGGCAGTGTTCAGGCACCTCCAGTCCTTGAGCTGAAGCTCCTACCAGACTCCAGTGGAAGGGAAAAGCCAAGGTGATCCCTGGGCCTTTTGACTGGAAGAAGCAAAAGGAAATATCAAAGACATAATATATTGAGCTACAAAGGGAACGTGCATGAATTATGTGGGTATTGCCAATGGCTGCTGTTTATTTGCCATCCCATGGGTGTGTTCCCAAACTTCAGCAGCTCAAGTGTTCCAAAAGTTGTTGTAATTCAATATTAAATAGGTATAATTCTTCTGAATGTCCAAAAAAAGAGCTCAGTATGTTGCTAATTAATCTCCAGTTTAGCAAAGAGCTTATACCAAAAACCAATCTGTCCACTTGTGGACACTCCTCCCAACCAGCAGCAGGCTTTCCAGTGTTATTCCCTAAAATGGAATTATCAAAATCAATCCAATTTACATAAAAGAAGCTAAATTTGGTTTTGCTGCTTGGTTTGGTTTTTCTTCCCCCATGTGCTTTCCTGCCATCTCCATGGGAAAACCTGCTGACATTTTCAAAAGGGCTTTGATTCATAGAGTGCTGAGAGTCTTCAAGATGTTGATAAAGGATATTCTGCTCATCTCCTTAGCCGTGTTTGCAGCAAAGGGGGTAACAAGGGAGCTGAGGAATGTGGGATCTGGCAGTGGGCTTTGGTGTCTGAGAACTTCAGATCCAAGCACTAATTGTGACTTAGATCATTAGCTAAGCGCAAGGTTGTCACTGACAAGTGCATCTGTCACCCCTGAAGGGCAATACAACCAAGGTTTGGGTAGGTTTGAGTTGTGTTAGCATCAGAATTATTCTCTTGCACTGAACTTAGAAATAAAAAAATACTAAAACCCAGCTATTAAAATATGTATTTGGGGTCTGTGGAGCCCACAGCAGGTTGCACTGAGACAGCCCAGGAGATGTGGTATGTTCCCTTTATTAACAGCTGCTGGATGGTGGCTGGACAGTGCACTGCTGTAATGGACTGTGTGCTTCAAACTTTACTGGACAAACATTAAACAGAGCAGAAAAATTCAAAATTTAGCCATTCAAACACAGCAACCCAAAGATGATGGTCTGTCTGCTTGCTTGTAAAACCTGGCAAAAAAAAAATCCTGGATTTGAAAAACCAAATTCACACACATGTTGCTTGATTTGCCATTTATTTGCACTTCTGAAAACTGAGCCAGTGCCAGATAACTTCTCTTTTGATGAATTTCCTTGGAAAAAGCATCTTATTTCAAATATGTTTCTTTCTTTATTCTGTGGTGCATGGCTAATGCATCTCTTGGTCCAAGTGGAGTGTGATTCATCACTGAGACATCCCTTGGTTGGGTGTAAATACGGAAGAAAAAGGTTATCTTCCCTCTTCTTTTGTTGCTATGATGGCAGTCCATCATCCAGAGTGGAGCTGTGAGCAGGAGGTTCAGCCAGGGAGAGGGAGGGAGGAATGGCAGTGATGTGGAAGGGAGTGAAAGCAGATAGACAATCCCCTTCTGTCTGAGCCCAGGAAGAATGATGCTGTTCCCAGACAGGCCCTTGAGCAGAGGCATTTATCTGTCTGATTCAGGGGTTGGAATGGCAGAGAGTAAAAAGGAGATGGATTCTCATCTCCCAGAGACATAAAACAAAGCTTTGAAACATCCAGCCTGTAAATAAAAGAGAAAGGAACCCATCTAGTAATACACCATGACTGACTTAGCAACTGCAGGGCATTTCTCTAGCTCTTCTCCCAAATCTAAATGATACCATTTCTTTGTCTTTCTCCTTCAAATCCTCATCTCTGAAACACAGCTCCTATTTTTGCATCCCCCTCCTGGTTTTCTCTCCTGTGAAAGGCTGCGATTAACTTGTTTACCCACGAAACCATTTTTGTCTCAGAGCACAATGATATTCACAATTTACAGAGCCCTTAAATAGGATTATTCTGTCTGTTCTCCTGTAACACTTGGCATCATACCCAGTATTTAAAGAAGCTCAGCACTTATGATAGACAGCCTTGTACTTTCTTTAGAGTTTCTACCTCATGCTCCAAAAATGTTTTCCTAAATCTGGTGAAGTGTTTGGTGAACACACACACACAGCTCTATTTCCTCCGAGAAGGAATGATACCAGTCAGGAGATGCTTTTTAGATTGCTGTCTTGTTGGTATAGGATTTTCTGCAAGATCCATGAAAAATGGCCCTTTTCATCATATTAACCTTGTTATGTTAAATTTAATTTGTATCAGTTGGTGGAAATTTAGATACTTACTCAAAAAGTTATTAAAAATTAAGAGTACCACAAACTGAACATGTGCACGCAGCGTGGAGAGAAAGTTCATGGGACAGTGAAATAAAAAGTGCAGTGCATTTATTATGTCACTTTTGAAATAACTTGATCTCTACATAGCATCTGCCATTCCACAGGGATTCTACTTGCTAGCCATTTTTTAGTTTTTGTAGGAGACTGAGCAGTCTTGCCTTCTAGGAAAGCTGAGCTTTCACATTATACAGGCCCTTTCCAAAGGGCTGAATCCAATCATGCAGGGCAGCTTTTCATCTGTCTTCATAAACTTCACCATGAAGCCAGGGACCTGTTTTCTTCATTTCTAACACACTGAGTGCATTTCTTGGAAATGGTGCTGCCTAATAGAAATGAGGGGAATCAGCAAATAACCTGAGGTTTTTACTCACATTTAGGTGGCCAATGAAGCTGTGATTCAGGCTATTAATAGCTGATAAAAATCCTTGAATGTACCCTTCGCAGAAGTGTTAGGTAGTCACTCGTCTGTCCAGGCTGGAACATGGTGCCAACAGAAGGGGTTGAGTCACCATCCCTGAAGGGGTTTAACAGATGTGTGGATGTGGCATTTTGGGGATGTGGGTTAGTGGTGACTTTGGCAGTGCAGGGGGAACTGTTGGATGCTCTTAAAAATCTTTTTCAGCCTAAATGAGTCAATGATTCTGTATTGGATAAAAACAGGGGGAGGAAAAAAAAGGCTAAAAGCTAAATCTAAATGGGAATATAACTAATAATTTCAATAATACATGACCTGTTAAACAAGAAGAAGAAAGAGGAGGGCAATGCTGAAATTCCTTTATTATTTTGGAGAGTTTAAGAAAGTTAATTTCAGAAGTCTTCTTAATTCCTTAGGAAAAACTAAGTTCTCATTATCAGTTTTATCTAAAATCCATTAAAATCCCTGCTGAGGACAGTAGCCTTTGGACAGATTGTGTTGTTTTGACATGACAGTTTGTGTTTGCTTAACTTCTGCAGCAATATAACTGAAAATAGGAATGTGCAGCCATCAGCTGGACAGCTCTGAGTGTGTACAGCACCAATGTAGAGCTCAAAGGCTTTGGAGGATTTACAGCATTGATTTCCTTTTTAGTCTGGGTTAATAACTTTAAGTATTTTAATGAGTCATTAACCAGATCCGAACCAACAAGCCAACATGTTTAAAATACTTAAAATGACACAAATTTTCAAAGTGGAAGTATTTGCAATTTTAGCACCTCTTTTAGTGCAATGTATTTGCAAAAGGTTTTTAATCCTTTGGTCGTTGTTTCACCTGCAGGACCCGAAGCTGCGCGAGCTGCTGGATGCTGGGAACATGGGAGGTCGGCTGGAAAATCGGATGATCACTGTTGTGTATGGCCCAGACCTGGTCAATATATCCTACTTGAACCTGGTGGCATTCCAAGATGACATAGCAAAGGTAACACACCTGACAGATGAAGATCTGTCATATGAAATTTAGGCTTTGGAAGTAGTGTTTCGAGATGTGGATAACTGGGCTGTAAGTGGGAGTTGCTATGAGATGAAGCACAGTTCTGTTCTGGAGCTGGGCCACTCAGTTCCCAAGAAGAAATGTGCATTTGTTTTTTGTTTTGTGGGGTTTTTTTTATCCAAGGAGTTTATTCAGCAAGATTGATGCCCCTGGTAAGTGTGCTCATGTTCAGATCGTTGCTTGTAAACCCCAAATAATCACAGTAAAAATAGTGTTAACATGCAAATTTTAACTCAGGAATGAGATGTTACACTGTGGCTCCCCAAAAACACATCAATATTTCAGTAGTAGCATCACATTTTGCCTGCTGAGAGCCCTTGATAAGGCTTGTAGTCAACATCATTGCCTTAGAAAAGTATTTTTTTTCTATGCAGGTCCATCAGTTTCCTCTGTCCAATTCACAACATTAAGCTACCCTTAGTACACTTGGGTTTGGGTTTTTCCCTCCTTCTTCCAATTCCTCTACAATTCAATTCTGTTTAATGAACTGGGAACTTTTGCTTTATCTATTTCAAACAGACATCCCAAAGCTTCTCTTTTTTCCACTTCCACTCATGTGGGCATGCTCTGATCCCAGCCTCCAGACATCCATGCACAGAACACTTTCCACAGAGCATTTTTACATCCTGGACTTCACTAGATTGTGAAAAAAGAGGTTCTCTGCAGCCTGCTGGGATTTAATGACAGCAAGGCGTTGTTTTGTCACCTCACAGGGAACAAGGATGGTTAGGCCATGTGCAGAAAGGTCATAAGATGAAAGCCTTCAGCGAGGAGGGGACATTTCTGCTTGCCAAATTCCCATTTCTGCTAATCTTCTTTAGCCAGTTGGCAAAAACATGATTTCCAGTTTTTCTTTGACATAGAAGAATAGAGACTGAAAGAGTTTGTGGTGGTCCACGAAGAGGTGAGAGGGAAATGCTGTTCTCAGGCTTGAAAATGCAGAGCTCTACAGGGTGAGAGATCTTAACACTGCAGAAATGAAAGCAATTAGAATAACTCTTCAGAAGAAAAAAAGGAGCTATGCTTATGAAGGAAAATGAAAAGGTATGCTAAAGCTTTACCAGCAGAAATTGCTGTCTCTTATCAAGGAGCAGGGAAAGTTACCCAAATCAGAAGCTTATGTCCTTCTTTTTCACTTTCCTGTCTAGCCAGCAGTCAGTGAGCCATAATCTTTTTGCTAAAACAGCACAGAAATGGGTATTTTAGGGCTATTTTCTGTTTGATAATGGAACTTTAAAGTGGATAAAATCATATTTTGTAAAAGCTTGGCTGCTGTAGATCTTGAGTAACTCCTATCGTCCACGTAACTAAGATTCTGAGTCTTCCTTTTTATTTGTAAATGCAATAGAGCAAATAAATTAATATTTGATCAGTTGGGCACTGTGGCCTGGCGATGCAATTTTAAGGCATTGCAGATTACTTATGTGTGCTTTGAGGTCATGTTAAATATCCTGATTGTTTGACTCATACCAGTTTTATCACTGTTGAATGCACCTAAAAATTCCTCCCTTTTTAACCTGTTTACCAACTTTATGTGAACCAGAACACAGAATTTGGTCTTTATTGTCTCTGAGCCCCATGCAGTGACTCAGAGAAAGTGTAATAAATAAGCACATCAGGCACAAGTCATCTCTTCAGGGACCTCTGGGGAGGAATGTCAGTACAAGACGTTTTCAGCGCCACACTTGCAAATTTTGACCCTTCTGATGTTCCAGGGAAAGCAAGTGCCAGTAGAAATCTCTCCCACCTTTCATTTTCAGTGCATGAATATTTTTTTAGTTAACCCTTCATTTGTCTTACCTTGTTCTTCATGTTGTGTGGCAAGTGCTTACCAAAGCTCCCTTAAGGAGAAAGGTAAAGTAAACTGTAATGGTCCTAATGAGGCAGTTAAAATCATTCCATTATAGGATTTTTTTGCCTTTGCAGGGGGCTGCCTTTTCTGCTACAAACTCTGTTCACATCCACTGGCTAAGTTATGGGAAAAGTAGGAAATACAAGTCTTGGGTTTTTCAGCCTGCCTCAGGTGCAGTAAATAGAAATGTCAGTATGCTGGATTATGTTAGTTCCTCCAGGAGAAATAACTGATGTTTAAAGCACATCAGTGATGAGCTGAAGGGCACCTGGTTTGATCAAAGAATGCAGCTTGAAATTCATTAGCCACTGCTCTAAAAGGCAGGCAGGAAGGTGTGTCCTGGTGGGAAAGAGAAGCAGCACTGAGAGAGTACTCACTTATTTTCATCTGAGAAAGCCTGTCTGGGGTAGGATTTATTTGTGAGCATCCACAGATTGCTGCAGAAGCAGCGGAGTTTATTCTCAAACTCTGTTTTGAGCAAATGCTCATTTTCTCTGTCTCCACTCCAAACATGAAGAAGTCCAACCCATCAACCTCTGTCTGCTCCTATAGCAGTTCACCTTCTTCCCAAATCCAGCAGATTCAGAAGTGAACATCTCATTGTTCCCACCTCTTTCCTCTTGCTCTCTTTGGTGCCTCTCATGGCAGCTCTCTTCTTTCTGTACTGCCAATCCTGGCCATGCAGGCCCCTGTCCAGAGCCCCAGGAAATCTCTGTCTCCTCAGTTTGATGAGCTTTGGGTCAAATGCATCACTAAGAGCTGATGAATTCCTCCATAAGTAAAATGATGTCATCAAGGATGATTCACAAGTCACGCTATAATATTCTTTCCAGCGCACATCTTTTTTTTTCCAGCTTCCCCAGTGTATATAAGAGCTTGATTAATAGAAGAAAATAAATTCAAATCCATTTGATATGGGTTTTTTTAAAAACAAAATTCTGAATGTGTAGAATTTCAGCAGCTTGCTTTGTTAACCTCCCACCAAAAGGAATGAGCAAGGAACATTGCTTTCACACGTAGTCAGGCCTGATTTGAAAGAAGTGTTTTCAAGGCTCTGTACTGCCTTTTCTTATGAAAAAGGTCTCATCTCTTCTGTTGCACTGAATTTCTTATGGTATCCTGATGCATGCAGAGGAAGAGAGATTACTTCAATGAGCAGCACATTTCCAAACAAGCTGCTGCTTGTGTGCTACCTGCCAAAGCACTGAACAGCTGCATTACTCGTCAGCAAAGTTCACAGGAATGGCAGAAGATGAACTGGTATGGCAGGACACAGCCAGAACGGGATCAAGTCCAGGAAGCTCTCTCTTATCATGATGGATGTGGCATGTTTGCAGTTGAAGGTCAGAAGGCCAGGTCCTTCTGCTCCCATAAGGATCAGTGCTGGGTTTGTTGGCACTGCTGCAGCCCTGTTTCAAAAAGCCCAGATTTCTATTTTCCTGTTGTATCACATCTGTGCAGACGCTGTAGTGCCCATGGCAGTCTGGAGGCTGCTGTAACCTTCCCACAGCTGGCTGTTTGCTCTCCACACAGAGCAGCCTTCCGTCCCTTGGAATGCTCTCCGCAAGTGCTGCCTGCTGGAATTGCTGGCACAGGGTTGGAGTATGGGCTCTGCTTTCTGCCATGCAGCAAACCCAAGGAAATTGAGCCATTTGGTAGCTGAAGCAGCAAGGCACACTTTGGCTCACAGCTTGGTGAGAGCCCAGCAAAGTCAGTTACAAGCATCTATTTTTTAAGCTCTGTCCTTAATGCTGTCGTTCCCCCTCTTGCCAAGGGTTCAGATCAGCAGCTGGAGAGGTGATGTGATCCTTGGCAGATTCTCTGATCTTGGCTTTTTGGCTTTGGCTGGACCCTAAAATGGGAGAGACAATGAACAAGTGTTGCTTATGACCTGGTTAGAAATGGCTCAGCCTGCAGGGAACCCTCAGAATGTTTGGCAAGATCAATGGGGTTGCTTTGGAGAGCCAGGAAAAGCCAGCAAAGGAACAAAATGGAACAAATGAAAGGCTGCTTATATAAATAATGTGTGTGACAGGAACATAATAAGTGAGTTCCCCTTACATTCCTGTCAACAAGCATTTTGACAAAGAAAAGGAAGAGCTGGGGGTGTGGGATACTCTTGAAGCACCCTACTTCTGTTTTATACAAAATATTTCAGCTTCAAGCCCAGCAGAAGCAGCAAAATGAAAACAGTCTATCAAGATCTGTTAAAAGCCAGTGTATTTTCTATTTCCTAATAATATTTTGTGTTGCTGTTAGTCTCTGTGGCCGTTAGTGTCAGAGGAGAAGTCTGAGCAGCTATTATTAGTGCCTAAACAAAGCACTGTTTACAAGATGAGCCTATTTTGAGACTGGAAAAAGGAGTTGCCAAGAAGAAAAACAGATGCTGCACTTAATACTCTGTTCCAAGACTCACAGTAAAGCAGTTGTGTTGCTAACAAGCCTGACTCCTCCTCCTCTGCTTTCTCACACCCCTGAATTTTTCAAACTAGGCCTAAGAAGGAAAAACAATTAAAGAAGAAGAATGGCAGTGGTCACGAGAAGGTGGAGGGGAAGATTATCTGAGCAGCACTGATTTTGCCTCCAGGACAAGTCTATGTCCAAAGAAGAAGGTTTCTCTTCCAGAACACCAGCCACAGAAGGGATGTTACATCTGTTGCTGAGGGGTGAGGTGGTGAATGGGATGGGCTCCCGAAGCTGAGAGCTGGAGGACATCAAAGGCCACTAAACCACTGGGCATACAGGCAGCCTTATCCTCAGGAGCACAGATGTGAGACCAGTTTCAGGAACAAGATCCCATAACATCAAGGAGAAAACCTTAGCATATAAAAAAGATGGAAAATTCCCCCCCGCAAACTTCTCAAATCAATCAACTGGTTATATGGAAAAATGAGGATTTTTAGGTAAAACAAGCTTTAATCTCCAAATGACACAGGAACATTTGTTTCAGTAAAAGTCAATGACACTTCCCATTCCTATCCATTTTTGTCAGAGTGGAATCCTTTTTTTTTTTTAATACATATTTTTTCTCAAGAAAAAGAAAGACCAAGGAGAAAAGAATACTTCCCAAAGAGTGTAGCAGTGAGAATTTTGGATTTGGACTGTTATGAAAGGAGACATAACTTTAGTTGAAACAAAACTCTAAAAGGTTTGTCAGCTAAAACAAAAGAAAATCATAATGTTTGCAAAGGCATTGCTTGTATTCTTGCTTTTCTTTTAGTGGGGTGAAATGAAACCAATCCAAAACCAGTTGTGATGAAAAAGGTTTGCAATTAAAGGTTGTGGAAAAGGAAAAATGTGCTGAAGCTGTCAATGAAAAGCTGTGGGAGAGACCTGCAAGGGAGGAAAGCAGCACAAACTCTGAGAGTAAACTTCAGTTTATAATCATGCTTCAGCTCTGCTGGGAGCCTAGGAAAGGTCAGGAATGCAAAGGAAAGAAATGAGCAATGTGGAGCAACAGTCTAGGGGGAAGGTGCCCTTGCCCAAGGCAGGGGCTTGGATCTGGATCCTTTTGACATCCATCCCAACTCAAACCATTCCATCTTTCTGTAGTGTTTCTTCCCTACAGTGGGAAGAGGGAAAAATATTTAGTGAGGGATAGGACCACAGTGTGAGGATGTGCAATCAGGGGGAAAGAGTCCTTTGAGTTGTATCTTCCTTGCACATCAGAGTAACTGAAATGTACTCCTGTGTATTTCTGCTGATTGGGGAGTTTTTAAGCTTGTTTCTTATCTTGGATAGAGTCAGGACTTCAATTTGTAACAGTCTTTTTTTTTTTTTTTTTTTTATAGCATGAGTAAAACAGCTCTCACAGATGAGGAGGGAAGATGTAATTGAAAAAATCAAGTTCAGGCTTTACTCAGGCCCTTTCTTTGAAAGCATAATTTTCAAAAATATGTTGCATTGTGTCAACAAACATCTAAACTGAGTGTCATTTATTCACTTTTTCTCTTCATAGGAATGGTCAGATGAAGTGTTCAGTTTGGCAACAAATTTGTTGGCACAGAACATGTCAAGGGACGCATTTCTGGAGAAAGCGTAAGTGGCCCTCGCGTGTCACCCTGTGGGTGTTGCTCTTCCCTCTGCGTCATTTTCCTCCACGGTTCTTACTCACCTTGTCATCTATTGTTTCTGCTCTGGTGACTTGTCACTTCTGTAAATACAGGTCCTTATTCCTGTGGTTCTAAAAAGCTTGTTATCTAGAAGTCATGTAAACAAGAATCCTTTTTAGCGTACTCCTGGCAAACTATTAAATCATGGCAGAAAAATTCAGAATTGAATGCTCCCTGCCCCTTGTACAGTTGTAGCTTCAGCTGTAGGCTGAAGGTCTGCCTTTAAAAAGAAAGAGTATTCTGGACTGACTTGCTTCTGGTTTGTTTTCCTTTTTGTCTTTTACTGATAACAAAATAAAAAGGAGAAATGCCAGAAGTTCCTTTTCCTCAGTCCAATCTCTCTGGTTTCCATGTGATCCAGAGAGCATTCATTCCTCTGGTTTGCTTGGCAGAGTGGGCAGATTCTGAGTTGCTTTCCATGAAGTATAAAAGCTGTTTGTGAAAACATTTGGGGTGAAATACACACCTAAAAGGGAAGAGAGCTAAACTCAACAATTCTCAATTCAGTAATTCTCAACTGATGAGGGGCAGTTTTGTGGAAATAAGCTTTGAGAACAGCATGGCAAAGCTTGCCAGGAAGTGCTAGTGTTGAACTGGGATACTCCCTGGCCTTTTTGGCTTCTAAAAGAGGGGCTGCACCTCCCCAGCCTGTGAGTTAGCTGCTTAAAGTCAGCTTACAAACACCTTTCCTTGCTCAAAGGCAGGGGCTCAGTCCAGCTAAATACAAAACCTACCTTCCTAAAACCGTCTTCCCTCCAAATCAACCTCCCATTTTCCGTGACTTTCTGAGGCTGTGAATGGCTACTTCCATTAGCTGCACCAGAGTCAGAATGTTCTGGAGTGCTGAACTTTAATCCCACAGAGCTATAGGTGCCTACTGGGGGAAGGAGGGATGTGTATCTGTGGGTATGTGCTTCCTCCCCATGGTGTATGTTGTGGTGCAACTGGAGTCCACAGGAATTCTTGAGGCAGCTCTGAAGGGTGGATCTTGCTGCAACTACAGCATTGTGTCTGATAATGGTGTGTTGGGGCAGCAGGGATGTATTAGCAAACAAAATCCCAAATGGATGGGAACATTCAACATTTCCTCTTGGCCCTACATGTTGGCAGTGGTGAATGTGCCCACCTGAGCTACTGACTTCCTTCAGCTCCACAGGCTGGAGATGGGTTTTGAGGGGGATTTGGTTCTACAATTCCCTTGCCCCTCAGATCCCCAGGTGCCCAGTGGGCTCTGCTGACAGGTCTGTAGTGGGGAGTGTGGGGGCTGTACATAATGGGCCCTTTCCTACCCAAATCAGGGGAGAAATGTGTCATCACACGGTACAGCACAGCTCCTTGTCTGGAGCTATGCTTTGGCAGTTTTTCAAGGCATATTAATTAAAGATGAAGTCACTGGGCACACTGCATGGATTCAGTGGCAGGCAAGCATGGCATTCCTGTGTCTTTTCCCACTAATTAATAAATCACTTGGAAACCGTAAGGTTTCCCAGCTCCTCTGCACCAATGCCAAATCAGTCACTTAAGAAATCTATGACTTTGAAGATTAAATTATTTCCCCATTATAACTAATGTACAAAGCAAAGGGTTGGTTGGAGTGCTATCAGAGCCCTTTTGTTGGAAGAGAAAACCAGATTGTACTAGAGCAGAATGAAGGGTTTTTTTCTTTCCGACATTCAGTTCCTTGGAGCATTGAAGTGCAATAATAAGCAGCTTTTCCCCATCTTCTGTTATTTCTAACTTCCTTGGTTATAGAGGAAAACACTCAATGTCACCAAAATATAGTCAAAAATTTCAAAAAAGTAAAAGTCAAAATGAAATAAACTTTATTTGTATTTCAATAACTGCTGTGATTTTTTTTGTTTGTTTGTTTGTTTGTTTGTTTTGATCTCCCTCGGTGCTGGGAGTTGGACTTGGTGACACAGTAGCACGAAAGGATTCAGTTTCCAGAAGATGAAACTGTGGGGAGTCAAGGATTTGTGGAAATGTTCCTATCCCAGTTATCCTAGTTTCAGCATGCACTGTGTTTTTGAAGTGGTTGCTAATAGCATTTTCTGTTGGGAAGAAAAGGAAAGTTTATTAGAACCATGCAGTTTCTTCTTCTTTTAACAGACCAGTGGGTAAAGTGAAAAAGCTGAGATTTTTAACAAAAAAAAAAAAAATCTCAACTGAAATATTTAAGTGTTGCCACATTTTTCACCAGATGATGTTACTGAAAAACTCATTTACAGTTATCTCAGGACTGACAGTAGAAGGTTTGTAGTCAATAATGATATCCCAACATGTTTTCATACTGGAAGAAAAAGCTGAGTGGGACTTGCCACATGATCAGAGCACTAGCCCAGAGCTAGAAAGCTGGTGGAGAGGTCCTTGAAAATGCTGTAAAAATAAAGCAGAGTGCTTTTCTCTCCACAGCTACACAAAACTCAAGCTGCAGGTGACTCCAGAGGGGCGCATTCCTCTGAAGAAGTAAGTGCTGTTCCCCTTCCTTACCACATGCTCTCTGCTGACTTTGGGCTGTGAATATGTGTTTGGGTGAGCATGGGACCATGTGCCTAGAAGAATAATTTTACCCTCTCTTTATAACAGTGATGATGGGGTGTCTCTGTTCAAATGCCCTTTGGGCACAGACATCCTGCCTCTCTGCCCTGGTTCTTTCTACTTGTGAAGATTAAAAAAAAAAACAAAACA